CCTGCCTCAGCCTCCCAAAGCACTGTTATTAAAGGCATGAGATACTGTGCCTGGCCGCATTATGTTTTTTAAAAAACAACATATATACTTTAACTTAAAAATACGTATTGCTAAAGAATACTAATTATCATCTGAGTGTTCAGTGAATTGTTTTCTTTTGTTGGTAGAGGCTCTTGCCTATGGTACCTGATTGATCAGCAAGGTGGTTGCTGAAGGTTGGAGTGCCTGCAGCAACTTTTTAAGACAGCAATGAAGTTTGCCGCATAAATTTACTCTTCCTTTAATGAAAGCTTTCCCTGGAGCACGTGTTGCTCTTTGATAGAACTTTACTCACAGTAGAACTTTCAAAACTGGAGTCAGTCCTCTCAGATCCTGCCACTGCTTTATCAAGTAAGTTTATGTAATATTCTAAATCGTTCATTGTCATTTTGGCAGTGTTTACAGGATCTTTACTAGGAGTAGATTCCATCTCAAGAAACCACTTTCTTTGTTCGTCCATAAGAAGCAAGTCTGAGGCCAGGTACAGTGGCTTATGCCAGTAATCCCAACACTTTGGGAGGTCAAGGCAGGTGGATCACTTGAGCTCAGGAGTTTGAGACCAGGCTGGGCAACATGACAAAACCCCGTCTACAAAAAAAATACGTGGTGGCACATGCCTGTAGTGCCATCTACTCAAGAGGCTGAAATGGGAGGAATGCTTGAGCACAAGAAGTTGAGATTGCAGTGAGCCATGATCGTGCCACTGCACTCCAGCCTGGCAACAGCAAGACCCTATCTCAGTCAATAAAGAAGCAAGCAAGCAAGCCACTCTTCATCCATTCAAGGTTTATCATGAGATTGCAGCAATTCGGTCACATCTTGAGGCCTCACTTCTAGTTCTAGTTCTCTTGCTCTTTCCACTGAAGTCTTGAACTGAACTTCTCAAAGTCACCCATGAGGGCTGGAATTAACTTCTTCTAAACTCCTGTTAGTTCTTTGTGGCATCTAGAATGGTGAATTCTTTCCAAAAGGTTTTCAATTTACTTTGCCCCAATCCATCAAAGGAATTTCTATCAATGGCAACTATAGCCTTACAAAATATATTGCTTAAATAGTAAGACTTAATAGTTGAAATTACTCCTTGATCCATACAATGGCAAAAGGAATGTTGTTAGTAGGCATGAAGACAAAATTAATCTCCTTGTACATCATCAGTGCTCTTAGGTGACCAGGTGCACTGTCAATGAGCAGTAATATTTTGGAAGGAATCTTTTTTTCTGAACAGTAGTTCTCAATGGTGGGCTGAAAATATTGAGTAAACCATGCTATAAACAGATGTGTTGTCATCCAGGCTTTGTTATTCCATCAATAAGCAGATGTACTGTCATACAGGCTTTGAACACAGGCAGACAGAGTAGATTCAGCAAAAAAAATTTGTTTTTTGAGACAGGGTCTTGCTCTATCACCTAGGCTGGAGTGCAGTGGCATGATCATAACTCACTGCAGCCTCCAACTTCTGGGCTCAAGCAATCCTTCCACCTCAGCCTCTGGCTGGGACTACAGGCATGTGCCACCACACCCAATTAATTTTTACATTTTTTTTGTGGAGGTGGGGTCTCACTATGATGCTCAGGCTCTTCTTGAGCTCCTTGCCTCAAGTTGTCCTCTAGCCTCAAGCTAGCCTTCTGCCTCAGCCTCCTAAAGGGCTGGGAGATTCAGCATAATTCTTAAGGGCTCTAGGACAAATGAGTGAGTATAGTATTCAACTTAAAGTCACCAGTTGCATTTGCCCCAACACGAGAGATAGCCTATCCTTTGAAGTTTTGAAGCCAGGTATTGACTTGTTATCTCTAGCTAAGAAAACCGTAGGTGGCATTTTTTTCCCCCCAAAAGAAGGCTGTTTCATCTACATTGAGAACCTGTGGTTTAGGGTAGAAACCCTCATCAGTTACCTTCTGGATAAGTTGCTGTAGCTTCTACACCAGCACTTTCTGCCTCACCTTGCATTTTATGATAAAAACATCTTCCCATAAACTTCTACTATGTTCTGTGAAACAGCCTTCGCTAGCTTCGCACTTGTTCTGCAGCTTCCTCATAGTGACTCTCAGCCTTAATGGAACTGAAAAGAGTTAAGGTCTTACTCTGGATCAGGCTTTGGCTTGAGGTAATGTAGCTGGTTTGGTCTTCTATCCAAACCACTAAAACTTTCTTCACGTTAGCAATAAGGCTGTTTCACTTTCTTATGATTTGTGTGTTTAATGTAGTAGCACTCTGAATTTCCTTCAAGAGCTTTTTCTTTGCATTCATAGCTTGGCTGTTTGGCACAAGAGGCCTAGCTTTAAGCCTGTCTTTGCTTTCAACATGCTTTCCTTACTTAGTTAATCACCTTTTTATTTTTTTGAGATGGAGTCTCACTATGTCACCAGACTAGGGTGCAGTGGTGAGATCTCTGCTCACTGGAACCTCTGGTTCTAGTGATTCTCCTGTCTCAGCTTTCCGAGTAGCTGGGACTACAGGTGCGTGCCACTGCACCTGGCTAATTTTTGTATTTTTTAGTGGAGAAGGGGTTCTACCATGCTGGCCAGGGTGGTCTCAATCTGTTGACCTCATGATCCGCCCACCTCGGCCTCCCAAAGCTCTGAGATTGCAGGTGTGAGCCACCGGGCCCAGCTCACTTTTTAGCTTTTGATTTAAAGTGAGAGAGGTGACATTTTCTTTCATTTGAACACTTAGAGGCCATTGGAGGGTTATTAATTGGCCTAATTTCAACATTGTTATGTCTCACAGAATAGGGAGGCCTGAGGAGAGAAAGAGAGATGGAGGGATAGCTAGTTGGTGGAGCAGTCAGAACATACATATTTATCAATTAAATTTGCCATCTTATGTGGGTGTGCTTTGTGACATCTCAAAATAATTACAGGAGTAACATCAAAGATCACTACTGGCAGATCACCACACAGATCTAATAAGTTTGAAATATTTCATAAATGACCAAATTGTAATACAAAGACAAAGTGACCATGTGCTGTTGGAAAAGTGGCACCAATAGATTTGCTCAAGCAGGGTTGCCACAGACCTTCAATTTGTAAATAATGCAATATTTGTAAAGCACAATGAAGTGAAATTCAATAAAATGAGGCATACCTGTGCAGTTGAATAGTTTGCCTCCATACAAGATATTATAGTTATTTTTTCTCTATATATCCTTCCAGAGATATTTTAAACATGCAAATAGTGCATATATGTTTATTACAAAACCTACCTTAAACACTTTTTCTTGTTTAAGAAAAAGGTTTCTTGTTTGTTCCCCCATAAGTGTAAATATGCCCTTTGTTCATCAAATAAATTTCAAATGATTTTTTTTCCTATTTTTCCTTCGATTTCTGCATGGCAAAAACACTGTGTACACATAGAAATGATAAATATATGTAGTGGTGAATACCCCAAATAGCCTGACTTGATCATTACACATTCTATGCCTGTAAGAAAATGTCACATGTATCCCATAAATCTGTACAAATAATATCTACCAAAAAATCCAGTTGTGACATTTCTGAGTTTTAGTTGGAAATGCTGTCCCTAGTAATTATCAGTTACTCAAGGATTCCTGCATGTTTTCAGGGACCCTTTTATCATTTCAGTCTTTGATACATTTGAAATTTATCCTGACATAAGATACCAGGTATGAATACAACTTAGTTTTTCCTGATCACTGTTTCATCAGACTAACACCATTTAATAAATATTCCTTTCCTGTTTATCAAAATCCCATTATCACATATTAAATTCTCACATATGTTTGATCAAAATATGTTTTAATATCTGATAGGATGGCAAAGGTTAGTTCTACCTTATTAATCTTATAACTTTTCTTGGCTCTTTAAAAATAATATATATATATATGTGAACTTCAGAGTTGGCTTTTGGTTAAAAAAAAATTGTTAGGGCTGGACATGGTGACTTAACATGCGTAATCTCAAAACTTTGGGAAGCTGAGGCAGGTGGACCACTTGAGGAGGTCAGGAGTTGAGACCAGCCTGGCCAACATGGTAAAACCCCACCTCTACTAGAAATACAAAAATTAGCCAGATGTGGTGTCATGAGCCTGTAATCCCAGCTACTCAAGAGGCTGAGGCACGCCAATCACTTGAACCCTGGAGGCAGGGGTTGCAGTGAGCTGAGATCCTGCCACTTCATTCCAGCCTGGGCAACAGAGTGAGACATCATCAAAAAAAAAGTTGGTATTTTTATTATAATCTCACTTTAGTTGTAGATTAATTTAAGTAAAATTGATATATTATGTTGAATCTTCTTTGAGAACATAGGTGCGTCTTAGGAATGTCTTAAAGATATCTTTTTATACATTTTTTACATATTTAGCTTATTTTTATGTTTTCAGGGTTACATTTTATAAATAGAGGCCTTTCCTTTCATTATATTTTCTAACCAGTTATTTGTGTTTAGAAAGCTTATTTTCTGTTTACTAATTTGTATCTAAATGCCATGTCATCTATTTTATTATTATATTTGTTTTTAATTTTGTTTTCCAGTGTACAACTATTATCTTCAGAGTATTAATGTTATCCCCATCTTTTCAAATTATTATACTTCTAATTTCTTTCTAATTACATTTGCTAGGAACACCAGAATATTAGATGATAATAATATAAAAGACATCGTGATAAAATATTTTTGTGAAAGCTTGTTGTATTTTAAAAGAAGTGCTTTTTCAGTTCTCTTCTTTAAACTTGAAACTAACTCCTGGTAGAGGTAGATAGTTTTATCATATTGAAAATATTAATCTATCCTTATATTACAAAGAGTTTTCATCAGCAGTAGATGTTAAATTTTGTAAAGTGCCTTTTCAGGATCCATTGATATTACTGGGATTTTTTTCTTCTCAACTCTATTAAAATGAATTACCTAAGTAGATTTCATCTTTAGCCACCCTGTGTTGCTGGGATAAATCTCACATGGTCAAGGAGTATTAGCATTGTAATATTCACTGCTTTTTTTGACAGGTGTATCATATTCATTCCGACAGCTATGAGACACAAAACCAGCATTATGGAAGAAGCTTAACAAAAGAAACTATAAAGGATGGTAAGGATTTAAAAAACTAATGCTTTTATGATTGAACAGTTAACAAAATAATTCTAAAGTTATTTCAGTTTTAGTTCTCATTTGGAGAAGCAATTTAATTCATAATACATTTTTTAAAAAAATAATGAACTTAGATTTACAGAATTGGATTAATCTTAAACCCTGGTTCATAATACATCAAGACCATGGCCCATGAATGACCCTCTGTTACGTTTTCATTTCTTTCTTATTAATATACTGAACAAAATAATGAACAGCTGTGAACCAAGTGTCTAGCTTAATACTGGAACTGTTGTTGTTAAAATTATTTTGTAAGCAAAGGTTATACTTACTTTATAGTATCATAGTATATTAAAACTTTGTTACATAAGAGACTTTGAAATATGTGTTGTAGCATGTACTGTTATTTTTATTGAATTTTCCCATGTGTAGTTGAGTTATGTAAGTTTCTAGAGCTACATAATGATTAACTAAGTGGCATTAAATTGATAAGTCTGTTAACATACATATATGCTTCTAAAAATATTTATGGCCAAGATATTACAAAAGCAACAATATCCTAGATTCCTAGAAATAACATTATATTACAAGTTTATTCTTAGCTCTACTAAGATAGAGAAGAACTTAGGCATAGTGTAGAAACTTTACAGAATAATTCTTATTTTATGTATAGAAAGCAAACATCCATAGCATGAGCTTAACAATTAGTATTTGCCTTGGAGTACTTAATCAACAGCAAAATAACTTTCAGATGGGCTATTTAAAAAATATTTTCCCAGGCTAATAATTTAGTCATAACTGAATATATCTTTTAGTAGTTTCTGACCCTAATTGGGGGAACACGTTATTTAAAAGCAGAAAGCAAATTCTCAAGTGTGATAAAATAGGCATAGTTTTAAAAATGGCCTAATTAATAATCTGATAAGTTAAAACATTTAAAGGTCTCAGTTTTCAATAGCATCCCTAACCTGGGAAAGTGCTATTCCCAAAAGTGAATAGCACTTAATTTTTTTGAAAAATGGACTTAATCAATATAATTGAGAGCAAATGAAAATTAGTAGAGTTATGGTTTTGTATTTGGTAATGGTATTATTAAAAAATAACTAAATTTGACTCTAAGTTGTAATTAGCTCTAAATGAGATTCTAACAAGTATTTGTTTTAAAAGACAGTCTCGCTCTTTCAGCCAGGCTGGAGTGCAGTAGCATGATCTTGGCTTGCTGTAACCTCTACCTCCTAGGTTCAGGTGATTCTTGTGCCTCAGGCTCCCAAGTAGCTGGGAATACAGGCATGTGCCACCATGCGTAATTTTTGTATTTTAGTAGAGACAAGGTTTTACCATGTTGGCCAGGCTGTTCTTGAACGCCTAACCTCAAGTGATCCACCCGCCTCGGCCTCCAAAAGTGCTGGGATTACAGAAGTGAGCCACTGTGCCCAGCCTGAACAAGTAATTTTACTGTAACATTTCTCACAATAGCAAATAGAGCAAGTCTTAGAATCTTATTTCTTAAGAGAATATAGTGAAAGAAGTAAACTACCAGTCTACCTGTAATAAATTTCTTTTTGTCTAAATAGGATACTTCATATGACATTAATGTCATTTAAATGTTTTGTAATAAGAGCATCTTCGGCAGAAATTAAGCTGAGGTCATATTTCTATATCTGACTAGAATTATTCGAATTCTGAGATTAACTGTTCACTTAATTATAAGGGATGATAGGGAAAATACTGGAGAATTCCATCTGATGAGTCTACTTCCCAAATAATAGTTATTTCATAATTTGATTATAATGCTCATATTTTTCTTTTTATAGGAGTCTCTAGATTTTTTTATAATGGGTACTGCTTAAGAAAAGATGCTGTTGCTGCCAGTATTCAGAAGATTGAGAAAATTCTGCAGTGGTTTGAAAACCAGAAGCAGCTTCACTTTTACGCAAGTTCATTACTGTTTGTTTATGAAGGTTCATCTCAGCCAACCACTACAAAACTGAATGACAGAGCTTTGGCAGAAAAGTTTTTGTCCAAAGGACCACTGTCAGACACAGAAGTACTAGAGTACAATAATAACTTTCATGTGTTCAGTTCCACAGTGAATGGAAAAATAGAGTCTTCAGTAGGCAAAAGCTTGTCCAAGATGTATGCTCGTCACAGGAAAATGTATATTAAAAAGCATCACAGTCAGACTTCATTGAAAGTTGAAAATCTGGACCAAGACAATGGATGGAAAAGCATGTCACAGGAACATTTAAATGGAAATGTGCTTTCCCAACTGGAAAAAGTTTTCTACCATCTTCCCACTGGTTGTCAAGAGATCGCCGAAGTAGAAGTGCGAATGATAGATTTTGCTCATGTGTTCCCTAGCAACACAATAGATGAGGGATACGTTTATGGGCTAAAGCATTTAATTTCTGTACTTCAAAGTATTTTAGACAATTGAATCCTTTGTTGCAGTTTTTTTTAAGGGGTGGGCCAATCATAATGAAGAGCAGCAGTCAATATCTCTGCACCTGTAATGCTATGTAAAAATTTGTATTGTGAGTCGACATTTTATTTGTCTTTCTACTTTTGGAAGAAAGGTTAACTTTTTTATAATCTTACTCAGGAAAACTAATTATTTGTTTATTAGAAAACTATGAAGAATAAAGAAACTTAGGAATGTTAAGCAGGGAATGTGGTGGTACATGGCTTAAACAATTTTTTGGCTCAAGTAAAATGCAAACCATTATTCAGTCATTAAGAGTTTAGTTAGCTTTCTGTAGCCAGTTCATGAAATCTCTGTCCACCCAACATTGACAATGAGCCATATCTAAACTATTACATTATTAGAACACCTACCAAAATCTCAAAAGCACAGGTTGATGTCCTTAGTATTGCTATGTATGAAGTTACTAAAACTGGAGAAACTTTTACTCAGAAATAAGTACTGTTTAGGTTTTATATTAAAAGTTCAGACCAGCATATCAAAGGGTGCTTCTTAGTGAAAGGATTTAGAATTGTTGCATTCCAAAAGCAGGTTTTCTCTCTGATTTTTTACATATCTCTCTCTCTCTCTCAAAATATTATGCTTCATGAAAAAGACAATTGATATGGATGACAACAACAACAAAATTTTTTTTTTGAGATGAAGTCTAGCTCTGTCGCTCAGGCTGGATTGCAGTGGTGTGATCTCGGCTCACTATAACCTCCGCCTCCTGGGTTCAAGCAATTCTCTGCCTCAACCTCCTGAGTAGCTGGGATTATAGGTGCCTGCCACCATGCCCAGCTAATGTTTTGGTATTTTTAGTAGAGACAAGGGTTCACCATATTGGCCAGGCTGGTCTTGATCTCCTAACCTTATGATCCACCTGCCTTGGCCTCCCAAAGTACAGGGATTACAGGCATGAGCCACTGTGCCCAGCCAACAAAATATTTTTATTATCTTTCATTTATGAGAAAATTGGAATATAAATTTATACATTGTGAAAAGTATCATAAAACATATACCTTTTTATATAAATACAGCTTCAAAAAAGTAAATAATTGAAGTTTTATTTCTCCTCTAAATAACTTGAATTTTTTTCTTTAAAAATTTATGTATTTATATGTCCCCATTTAGTTAAATGGTAGTGTAAATGTATGTTGTTAAAAGTAGTTTCTCAGAATTATAGTAAGCCATGAAAAACAATATCTAATTAGGTTGTTATAAAAAATACTATGTGTAAATTAGTCTGTCATATACGGTTTGGTGCATAGCTAAATTCAGGCTTCTATTTCACTCATTCAAAACAGTTATATATCATGTTCAACAGTGAAATTATAATTTAATTTCATGGGGGTGGGTGCAAGGGCAGTGCTACAGTTCCTGGAAAAATTAGATTTGTATTTCATACCCACCACCTTAAAAAAAACAACTAATTATTTGTCATTGAAAACATGTAAAACTTTGAGTCTTCAAATACATTTGATGATAATGCTGTCATTACTTGCACTTTGATTCACTAATAACATTTCTAAGTAGTTAGCAGTTTTGTCATATTTCTGCAAAATATTTTGGAGTTGTAAATTGTTTCTCCTCTTTCTTCTGGAGTTACAAACTGAATTTTTAAATCCAAGCACCTTTGTTGTGCTGTGGAGAAAAGTATTACAATTTTATGTTTATCTTACCTTCCCAACCCTTTCTGGGGGTACTTTGCAAATACGTGACTCCATATAGAAGTACCAAATAAATGCTCAATGAACTTTATGCTTAGTAAATCTACTAAACCTGAATAACTGAAAAGATAATGTGCATTTTGTAATAGCAAAATTCGATTTTAATTTTTTTATTAGAATTGTATTTTCCATAAGGACTTCCAATTTTTCTTTACTTTTCAAATGGATATTGGCTATAGTTCTGTGTTTTAATGGGAATGAATTTCAAATCATAATTAATAATCAGAAAATTTTTAGTTTTTCTCTTACAGTACGGACTTTTGTTGTTATTTGGATAGTGGTTCAATAAATCTTAAGCTCAGATAATTAAACACTATTTTGAATCTTAACAAGATATTGAGGCTTTTTTTGTATGGGATGATATCAGCTTATGTATAATGAATTTATTAAACTTAAGTATTATCAGATTTTTTGCACATTTTAGCTCAATAAAATCTGAATTAACTGTTAAAGATTTTTTTAATCTGTATTTGGAAATATAATTTTGTAAAATCAGTGTCTTACCTTTTTGATACAATAGATCATGTTTTGTTTTTAATAAAGCAAGAAGTCCTTTAATCTGTTGTTTTTCAGGAAAAGGTTTAACATTTAATTCTGTTGGTTTACATTTGTTATCATTGTTATCCAGTGCTCATTTTATGTTGCTTTATAAGTAAGCTTAGGTATAACAGAGTAAGTGTCTGTTTATCCAGCCTACTTGTGACTATTTTAGTCGATCTCAGTCACTTAATATTATGCTGAAATTTACCACTGTGGGGATGAATGATCACTATTCACCAAGCGTATTTGAACATGTAAAAGTTTAAGAAATAAGTATAATACCGATATAGTTTGGGTTAATAGGATTCTCATAGTTTTTTTCCCCTATGAAACATAAGTAATGATTTCAGTGTATTTCTTATGGAATACACTCATTTAGAAAGGACTTTAAGAAATTGTGGATGTGAATAATACCTTCCTCTAATAAAAATTTAAATTGTATAATAGTTTTATAATAAAGTATTTACATTAATTGATATTTTAATATGGATGGACATTGCGTAGATTCAAGTAAATTAAAATCAATTATAAATGCTAAATATTTTATCTAAATAGTTTTTCAAGAAACAATTATGAAAATATGAATATTAAATGGCTCTAAAGTGGAGCTTGTGATATTTCAACTCAGTATCCATTATTCTTTGTGTGTGTCTGGAAAGATTGTACTTACTTTTCCTCTTTACACTACAATTTGCTGTTATGGGGCTCTAAACTGTGTTCAACTAAATAAGAACCTTTGTATTTCAATTGAGCATAATTTAGTATTTTATGATTTCCAAGATGATGTTCTATGTCTGTCTGCCAAGTCTGTGTATCAAATTTATAGCATCATTTAAGAAAAAAGAATTTCCATAGATAGTTGCAATTTTTTGTTTCACGCAACTGGAAATACATTTGTTTCTAGGGTTTGGAATATTATAGAAGATGTAGGATGAAAGAAAATAATAGAACAATGAAACAATTCTGTTAAATTATGGGAATTGTGTCCACTATGGTAAAGCATTGTCATCATTTTAGTACATTTTCTCTTAGTAGTTTGGCATTTTATACTTTAAAACTTGATTTGCTTTAAAAATTGTTTACAATTTTCTCCAGTGCCTTTAGTCTTGATTTGATATGCTTGTACCCTCAGTTATCTTTTCTATTACATATTTCTGATGTTTTCATAGCCTAGGAAACATCTATTCCTTTTTAATAAGTGTCAATCAGGTTATCTAAAGAGGTAACAATTATCTGTTAATGCTTCGGAAAAACAAGTAGTGTTGCCTTTGGAGGCCAGGCTTCTTAGTTTATTCAAAAATAGTACTTGGATTTATGCCATGTGTTAAGCATTTTTAGCCCCCAGTATTACAATGTGAACCAAACAGATAAGGCCCTAACCATTTTCAGTGTTCTGTTTAGATGGGCTGGGATTGGGGACTTAATAAAAATACAGATATAGAAAAATATGCATCTAAATAGGATAATAGGTATGAGGTTGAAATGAAGCAACTAACAATATTAAAGAAGTTAGAAGTAATATTTTGCAGTATTGTAACCTCTATTTAACTTAAGTTTGGGTAGTAGTTACAGATGGCATAAGAGCCTTAATTTTTCACTTTCCTTGCTGGCAAAGGTACATTTATTTAGACTGTCCATTTAAAGTAGTGTTTAACATAACATTACTGTGAAAAACATTCCATTATATATTCCCAAGCAAATGAACTGCATCTTCTTTATTGTATTTTATGATTTAGCTCAACAATTTTAGGCCTCAATCTTCTTTTCACATCACTGATATTTTAAATTTGGCAATGAATATGAAATTACTTTTGATTTACAGACTGATTATATTATTACTTTGAAAATGCATTAATTTCTTAGGAAGATTTGGAGCCTCTTTTTTTGAGTTAATATTTAAATTCTCATTACTTATTTTAATAGCCTGTACCAGGTGAAAATAGTATTTATGCAAATAAACAAATCACTATAGGCTTTCAAGACTTTAATTTTAAATTTTGTCATCATTGAGGTTTAAAGTTTTTACCTGCTGTCCACTCAAGATATATATTAACAGTTTATGAAGTGAAATAGTTTTACATATGATGTACCTGCATATAAATGAAAATGGTGTGCACAAAGACACTTTATGGGAACTGTACTGGAAGATTTATGAAAGCATGTGAAATTGCACCTAAAATTGTGTTATTAGTGACTATAAGCAGCAATGCTAAACTTATTGTACTTGATGAATGAATGTATTTAGTCACAGTTACCTTGGTTTAAATGTATAAATGTCTTTAGGGTTTTTAAAAAAAATGTGTTTGTAATTTGTACTATTGCGGGGATATGCTTGGACTGCAGGGGTTATTGTCAATGTGTGATTTGTGTTTTTATTTTATAGAATCATCTAATGTGATATACCAATTTTTATAAGTGATATTTACATAATTCTAATACCTGTATATTTGACAACCTATTAAAATGTTTTGCATTGGAACTTTTTTCATTAATTGTAACATGCTAACAAACATGGTGGTTTAAAAATAACTCATTCATTCAACAAATATTTAAGTGCATGTTATGTATCAAACTATAGGAATCATTGGGGAATCAAAGATGTCTATGAAAGTGCATCAGTAGAAAGAAGCATACTTTCAGACAAATTGGGGAAGGGATTTTTTTAAGTGTATACATTGGAAATGATCAAGTATGTAAACCATTTTGCATGGATATTTATTTTTTCTATCACATAAACTAAAATCTTTGGAATCAACCTAGAAGGAGTGGGCTATAGAAACAAATTGATTTGGTTGTGAAAATACAATAAAGTAGGTAAGGTGTTTTTTTTTTTCATGTATTTGAAATTTCAGAAATTAGTGACCAAGTTATTATTTTCATTATTAGTTAAAAAGAGGGTACTGCTGAACACCTCTTTTTCCAGGCACTATATTTTGCTTTGGAGATTTAAAAAAGTTACAAAGGATTCAGTATCTATTATGAAGATATATACTGGCTGGAAGAGAGAAAAAAACATGTTGATATGGGATAAAATAGCGGAATTATGATTGACACTTCTCAATATTCAGCAGGGTTGTGAAGATAGAAAAGTCGTTCTAATAGTTGGCAAGAGGAAGAAGAGAGTTTGATTTATAACATCTTAGTACTGAAGAAGGCACTCCACCGTAATGCCTGCTTCTTTGTGAATGCTATGGAGAGGACCAATACTATGTGATGTAGTAGTTTTTTTCCCTCCTGCTTAAGATAGGCTAACTGCTGAAAAGAAACTTGGAACCCCACTGCTACAGTCCCCAAGTTATAGCTAAGTGTGAGGACTAAATAAGAGCTAAAGGGAAAGAATAAAAATTGAAAATTATAAAATAATAAGTAAAAATAATCACTTGGGGATTTTGTTCAAATGCAGATTCTGATTAAGTAGATTGGACTGGACTCTGCGATGCTGGTCCATGGACCACACTTTTGACTAACAAAATTTGCAAAAAGTTCTTGGAGGTAGGGTATACACTACCACTTGAGCAGAGACCCAAGCAGAGCTGTTTGGAAGCCATGAGAGAGTGCTGGTAACAGAGAATGAAAGGGGCTTAGAATAGGAAGAGAATACAGCCGGAAATGGCTTGAGATAGCACTGGCCACTCTTAATTGGAAGAAAAAGTTCATTGGAAAGTTAATGTCAGAAACGTTAAACTGTGCTTCCTACAACAAATTTTAGGAATCCTGTAATGATAGACTTGTTATTTTCTATTATTTGTGCCATTGGCCTTTTAATCTTCTGTATGAATAATTACTTTATAATTTCTCTTTCCCATGCATTTCCCATTCATTTTTTTCCCAGAGGAGATACTATTTTTTACCCTCTTATTATTGGTAATAATATGCACATTTACATATGTAATAATTGGTTTTGGATATATTTCTTGGGGGGTAATAAGAGTAGTAAATCTTTGAAAAATGGCAACATCTAGCACTCTGGCTTTATCCAAAGATGTCAGTGTGTTTATCCCTAATTTCTAGTTTCTAGATCTAGGTAAACTTGCCTAATCTTAAGTAGGAGAATTAATCAGACCTATGCTCAGTTACACATAAATATGTGCTTTGTAGCTTTTCCAGGCTAATTTTTACTTGTTCCGTATAGCTTTTGTAGAGACCTTGCTTTCTCAAAAGGGCTCAAGGATCTGAGTTTTTGAAATATATTATCCATTTGAGACGAAGTCATAACCAGCAGATAAAAGAAGCTTCCACATAACAAATCTGCAAATAACTGAAGTGCATTTCTTCAGGTATTTCAGTGTTCTCAAACGGTTTATAATAATCCTTCCAAAAGATACTGCAGATTTCCTCATATTTTCAGGAGATATTGAAGTAAACAGTGGCTGTTTCCCCCCCATACTTAAATAAGATCAGGCCAGGAGGTGGTAGATGTTCTGTAGACACTTCCAGAATCATCATTATTCCTGCTCCTTCCTTTAACAAAACAAGGCACGTTCCTCTGAAGGACCTGCTCTCCCTCCTTATTTCAGTCATCTCTCCGTAGCCCCTCCAATTATGTCAAACACAGTACCCGGGTCACATTCACACTCTACACACTCCAGTTCTAAACATTATTAATGATTTTTTGTACACAAACGTGAGTTTTCTGACACCTTGACCTCTCGGCCCCTGCTCTCCTCACTGCCAGTGATTTTATTTTCTACTTTGACTTCAGCCACTCATTCTCATAGGCACCCTAGACATTACTGATTAACATCCCACTCTATCTCTTCCTGTACTTTCAACTTCCTCTCCCTACTATTTTCACCCACAGCGATCCAGTGCGTTGATCCTAACCTTTGCACTGTCCATCATCTTCGTGTTCTTACTTTAAGCCTTATACAACTTGGATTCAAAAGTTCTTCATTATAAGTCACTCCCATACACGCAGCCACAGACTTTCTAGCCCTATTCCTTTCATTGTATTCCCCTGGGAAACTCACTCTGGTTTTCTTTATTTTCTACCTACTCAGTACCTGTACCTTAGAGCTGGAAAGAGTTGGCATGTTCTCACTTAAAAGAGGGAGCTAAACAACGGACATGGATGGACATAAAGATGGCAACAAGACACCAAAAAGTACTGGGGGTGGGGTGGGTCAAGGGATGAAAAACTATTGGATACTATGCTTAGTACCTGAGTGATGGGATCAATCACATCCTAAACCTCAGAATCACACAATATAATATATCCAAGTAATAAACCTGCAAAAGTACAACCTGAATCTAAAATAAAAGTTGAAATTATTTTAATAAAAACAGCTAGATGAAAATGGTTGGAGAAAAACACAGCCATCCTCCTGGTGTCTCTCAAAATTTATTATTTCAAACTCCAAATGGTTTAAAGATTGCCTTCAAGGCAATCTTAATACACCTTCAAAATCAATTATCCCACCATTCTTCCAGAGAGCTGTGTCACCATGCCTCCTCACTCAGATTCCCTTGGCCCATGCTTTAATTTTTCACTAAGAAAATGGTAGTAATCAAAATGTTAGCACATTACCTCACCTTCAAACCTGCATATCCACCTCCTTCTAGAACCATATATTGTTTTCTTCTCTGCTATTTAATGGATGAACACTGCAATTTCTATGTGAAGTCAGTTCTTCTCCAACACTCTTAGATCCAATACTCTCGCACATATTAAAAAACATCACTGGGCCAGGTGTGTTGGCTCATGCCTGTAATCCTAGCACTTTGGGAGGTCAAGGAGGGAGGATCTCTTGAGCCCAGGAATTTGAGACCAGTCTGGGTAACATACTGGGATCCTGCCTCTAAAACAGCAACAAACAAGGAGAAAGCCATTTGTGATGGTATGCACTCGTAGTCTTAGCTACTCAGAAGGCTGAGGCGGGAGGATCTCTTGAGCCTGTGAGGTGGAGGATGCAGTAAGTTGCAATGGTGCTACTGCACTTCAACCTGGGCGACTGAGTGAGACCCTGTCTCAAAAACAACCGCAAAACATGACTACTGCCATTCTCCCTCCTTTCTCCTGCAACTGGAATGTTTCTCCCTCTACTGTGGCATACCCATTAGTATACATGTAAGATTTTCCATACCTATGATATTCCCCTTTTAAGCATCTATTATTGACGTTTCCTTTGCTCCTACACCTACCACTCTATTTCTTTGCTCCCTTTTTAGCAAAATGCCTCAACTTATTTCCAATTCTCCTCTCTTTTTCTGTTAACTCACAACAATCAGTCTTTCTCACCACCCCAGCCCTGACACTCCCATAAATCAAAACAATTCTTGGCAAGAACAACTTTTATATTATTAAGTCTAAAGTTCAAGTCTCCTCTTTTTACATGATGTAATAGCATTCAAGACAGTTGAATGTACTCTCCGTCATAAATGTTCTCTTTCTTCATTTGGCTTTATTGACATTTCATTCTCCATATTTTTCTCCAACCTCTTATCTTCCCTGCACCTTTCATTGAATCATTCTCTTTTCACCAACTCTTGAGTCTTGGTGTATTCTGAAGGTCAGTCTTCTCTTTAATGTGATAATTCTTTAGGTCAGGTTCTAAAACCTATTATACTTAATAAGTTTGAATAATGACTACTTTGCAAGACCATATTTGCTACCCTGAACTGAAACTTATGGGTAATATAATCTATTCACACATAAGATTTTAAAAAATCAATACATAAAACACTGATGAAAAGTCAAAGAAGACCTAAATAAATTGAAGATATGGCATAGTTTTGTATTGAAAGACTCAGTTTTTAAGATGTCAGTTATTACCAAAATAATCTATAGATTTGAAACAATCCTAATTTGAATCCCAGCAGAATGATTTTTCCCTTAGAATAAATCTATACTCTAAAAGATGTATGGAAAGGCAAAGGGAATAAGACAGCCAAAACTATTTTGAAATAGAATGAAGTTGTATTGCTGGGTGTGGTGGTTCACACCTGTAATCCCAGCACTTTGGGAGGCTGAGGCAGGCAGATCACCTGAGGTCAGGAGTTCAAGACCATCCTGGTCAACATGGTGAAACCCTGTCTTTACTAAAAATGCAAAAATTAGCTTGGTGTGGTGTGCACCTGTGGTCTCAGCTACTCATGAGGCTGAAGCAAGAAAATCACTTGATTTTCGCACCACTGCACTGCAGCTTGTCAGAGGGAGACTCTGTCTTAAAGAAAAAAAAATGAAGTTATAGAATTCACACTGCCAAATTCCAAGATTGACTCTAAAGCTACAAAAAACAAAGACACTGTGATATTGACAGATAGATACATAGACAGATGGAATGTAAAAGACAGTTCAGAAGTAGACGCCAACAAATATGATCGATCCATTTTTTAACAGCTTTATTATATTATATACAATAAACTGCACATATACAAAATGTATAATCTGATAATTTTGATATATGCATATACCCTTGAAACCATCAGGAAAATGAACATATCAATCAACTCTAAAAATTTCCTTATACCCATTTGTAA